GAATTATGATGCTTGATCTTAAACTGAGTACAAAGCAGTAATCATAACATTGTCGAGGTTAGTCCCATTGTCGGTAATGATCCTTTTGGGGATACCATAGCGGCAGATGAGGTTATGTTTGAAAAATCTGGCTACCACATTCTTCGTGACTGAGGAAAACGAGGTGGCTTCGACCCATTTGGTGAAGTAATCAATAGCGACCAGGATGAAGTGATGTCCATTGGAAGTGGTGGGCTTGATCTCTCCAATCATGTCAATGCCCCACATTGAAAATGGCCACAGAGCGGTCATGACATTCAGAGGGATAGGAGGTACATGGACCTTGTCAGCATAGATTTGGCATTTGTGACAAATTCTTGAATGTTGATGGCAATCAGTCTTCATTGTTGACCAATAGTAGCCAACTCTCAGGATCTTCTTAGCCATCGTATGTCCGCTTGAGTGAGTACCAAAGATACCATCATGCATGTCTTCCATAATTTCCTCTGCCTCCTTCTTGTCCACACATCAGAGTAGTGTAGAGTCATGGTTGCGCTTATATAGTATTCTGTTTCTTAGGAAGAATCTGGCTGCAAATCTTCGTAAGAACTTTCTGTCATTGATGGATGCTCCCTCGGGATATTCTTGTGCTTCAAGGTATCTCATCACCTCATGGTACCAAGGTTTTTCTGCGTCAGTGTCAATCTCACATCAGTGTGCAGCTTTGTCGAATCTTTCAATCGTAATCATAGGGGCTTCGTTGTCCCATCTGACCTTGAACATTGAAGACATGGTTTCCAAGGCGTCAGCCAACTGATTTTCTTCCCTAGGGAAGTGTTTAAATGTGATCTCTTTGAAGTAGGGAATCAGAGATAGCACAAGTTCCTTGTAAGTGATGAGATTAGGATGTTTAGTGTACCAATATCCTTTTACTTGGCTAATCACTAGATAGGAATCCCCAAACACATTCAAATGCTAGATCCTCAAGTCAATGGAAGCTTTCAGACCCAAAATGCATGCTTCGTACTCGACCATATTGTTCATGCAATTAAAGCATAGTCTGGCAGTGAAAAGAGTGTGGCAACCTTCAGGGGAGATGATCACAGCACCAATTCCGTTACCCAATGCGTTGGAAGCCCCATCGAAGACCATAGTCCATCGGGATCCTTGTTCAGGTCCGTCATACGATCCAGGTTTCACACAGTCGGTTACTAGCATGATGTTCTCATAAGGGAAGTCGAAGTTCATAGACTGATAATCATCCATAGCTTGATGAGCCAAATGATCGGCTAGTACGCTTCCTTTGATGGCCTTTTGATTCATGTATTGAATGTCGTACTCAGTCAAGATCATTTTCTATCTAGCTATCCGTCCGGAGAGGGCAGGTTTCTCGAAGATGTACTTGATTGGGTCCATCTTAGAAATCAACAGAGTGGTATGAGTCAACATATACTGTCTTAGCCGGCGATCAGCCCATGCCAGGGCGCAGCAAGTTTTCTCAAGCAATGAATATCTAGTTTCACAGTCGGTAAACTTTTTGCTCAGGTGATAAATAGCATGCTCTTTTCGGCCAGACTCGTCATGTTGGCCCAAAACACACTGCATATAGTTCTCTAGTACTGTCAAGTACATGATCAAGGGTCTTCCTTCAACTGGAAGCATGAGAATAGGAGGTTCTTGTAGATATTCTTTGATTTTGTCAAAGGCAGCTTGACATTCATCATTCCATCTGACTACCTGGTCTTTATTCAAGAGTTTGAAGATGGGCTCATAAGTAGCAGTCAAGTGAGATATGAAGCGGGCGATGTAATTGAGACGACCCAAGAATCCTCTAACTTACTTTTCAGAATGAGGTATTGGAATTTCTTGGATGGCCTTCACCTTGGCAGGATCAACTTCAATGCCTTTATTACTGATGACAAAACCTAGAATCTTTCCAGATAGTACTCCAAATGTACACTTGTTAGGGTTTAACCTAAACTTGTACTTTTTCAGCCTCTCGAATAGCTTATACAGGTGATCGAGATGTTCCTCTTCAGTCTGTGATCTGGAAATCATATCATCCACATAGACCTCTATTCCATGATGAATCGTGTCATGAAGTAAAGCTACCATAGCCCTTTGATATGTTGCCCCTACATTCTTCAATCCAAACGGCATGACCTTGTAGCAGAAGGTGCCCCATTGCGTAAAGAAAGTGGTATTTTCCCTGTCTTTGGGAGCCATCCTTATCTGATTATAGCCGTAGAAACCGTCCATGAAGGATAATACTTTATGCTGAGCAGTATTATCGACCAAGACGTCAATGTGTGGTACAGGGAAGTCATCCTTGGGGCTCGCCCTATTCAGATCCCTATAGTGTATGCACATGCAAACTTTTCCGTCCTTCTTTGGCACTGACACCACATTGGCTACCCATTATGGATAGGATGTTACAGCTAAGAATCCTACATCAAATTTTTTTATCACCTCGACTTTGATATTTTCAGACATATCAGGCCTCATGCGACGAACATTTAGTTTGAAAGGGGGACAGTCTTCTTTTGTCAGCAGACAATGAACTACGATGTCGGTATCCAACCATGGTGTATCTTCATAAGACCAAGCAAATACTTCCATATAATCATGCAACATCTGAACCAACCTGCTCTTGAAACTGTCTTCCGTTAGCACTGATCTTGATTTCTTTCTTGTCTGTCTCAGTACCCAGATTGATGACTTCAACTGAATCTTCGTGTGACTGAATAGCTTTTTCCTCTTGTAACAGATGTCTGGCTAGTACTCCCGGTATTTCACAATCTTCCTCGCCTTTGTCTTTAGCTTGGTTAATTGGACATTCGAAGTCATAGTCGGTAATAGTAGAGTCATTAGCAATAGGATCCAGAGTGGATGAGGACCTGCAAGTGTGTGTGTGTGTGTGCATGTAAGATACATGGCTATTTGGAAAAATGTATTTGAAGGAAAAGATAATGAACACAAATATTTGAATGCGAAAGAGTCCAATTATTTTTATTGAATGATCATATGATTAGATGAACATAAATAAAACCCTTGACAAATGGACCAAAGTTCCCCGGGCCAGGCACATGGCTTAAAAGTCATTGTTAAATATTACAGACAAAATGTTCTTGAATTGAAAGAAAAGCAGTAACAAGTAGATTACTCCTCAAGGAAGGATATGGGCACGAAGTCCTTTGCATGCCAATTCTTCAGTCTGTTGTTGTAGGATACACCCAATCTTTAAACGCAACTTCTTCATCAGAATCACCTACAGCGTTAATTTCACGGCTTCCAATGTGGAGAGGTGGCTTTCCTGCACGGGCATGCCTCACTTCCTTCTGGGCCTTGATGGTGAAACCTAAACCAAAATTGTCCACTTTGAAAGGGATATCAAGGAGTTTCCCCCAAGTATCACAGCTTTGTTGCACCCCAAAATTTGCCCTCCTAATTTCTTCTATCTGGTTTAGGCCCTTGCACTCATATATATATATATATATATATATATATATATATATATATATATATATATATATATAAGTTCATTAACATACATCTACATTCAATAAAGCGCTTGAGGTTCAAAGTTCAGTGGCTGTGCGATATCAGGGTTTCATAACGGTTAAGGTGTTCGTATCCAATAAAGCCTGATTCTTCTGATTATCCTTCAAGCAGTAAAATGTGGAATTATGGTTGCAATCTATGATCATTGAGGGTTATGTTCTCTTCAAGTTAAGGGAGTTATTACTCATTCGGATACATTCAAGACAAGAGTGTTTCTCCACCAAGTTTGTGCTTGTCAGTATTTCATCCACCGAGGTTCATTAGGTTTTCTAAGTTATGGCCAGCTTGGTCATGTTTCTTTCTGTATCTCTATGTTCACTTCCAAGTTGTTCTACGAGGTCATCTGAAAGGTTACCAAATCAGGCATATATTATCTTCTTGTGCTCAACGTTATCCCAGTCATGCACTTAATATGATACAGGGTAAAAACAACGTGCTCTTGATGGATCCTCATTTGGAGGGAAAATTTTCTACAGAGGAGGCAACAATAGCCGTCAATCTTGCCTCTAAATAAATGTTTGCAATATGAACCGCGAGAGTGGCCTACTCCAAATTCCTGATGCATTAGTCTCCGAGATAAAAAGTTGGGAGAAATCAGGTAAAGCTAGATCTGGTGCAATAGTCATAACTTGTTCGAGCTTCTAGAATGATTCTTCTGCTTCATTACTCCACTTGAATTGAAAAAAAAACACTATGCAATAAACTTAGTGTTATTCAATATTCTAAAATGGTGTAGCTGAGCCTGTGTGGCTGACTCGGCTCATTCTCCTTGTAGGGTGAGGAACTTTCCTTGGTGGAAAATTAAGTGTCAAAGCTGCATAATCTGCCACATGAGGTCTCAAATTTCTAACCACGTTGACCCTAGTATGATGTTTGCTCACAAGATTGGTAATAAGTACACAAGTACCATAATATCTTGTCCTTGCACATTTAGTGGCAGATTCCATATCTTGCCTTCTACATTCATTATTTGCATGCTTCCCACTAGAACTCTAAGGTTATTAGCTAGTACAATAAAATTTGAATTTCGTATCTTAATATTACAATATATTAATGAAAGGCCCGCCAAATTTAGGCTTCATTACACTAACAAAGATACTATTGTTTGTAAGCAAAAATCTTGTATTTCTGTAGATTTTGACTAATTTTTTGAACTAAAGCAACAATAACTGCCACTGAAGCAAGTAAAAATAAACAGTTCAAACATTGGAGCAAACACCACTTGAGTGACAATATTCGTATATGCTTTTGCACAATGCGCATTTGTATAAGGAAGATCACGACCAAAGGTCCAAACCCAACTGCTCCAAGTAGAGAAAAAAATTGATTGAAAAATGGCATTGCCATGTTTTTGCAAGGCGAAGCCTATGCTATCTGTTATGTGATCAACCGGATCCTGCTCTACGAGATGCAACGCAAGCACAATGTGTTTATCCAGACTGGCCCGCGACTTTCTACATTCAGTCAGTTGCTCTTGCAAAGCTGAACACGCACAAGGATGCAGTTGACATGTTAAACAAGGCAGCCACATGGGAAGATAAGAAGTAACAAGGAGCGAGAGGATCATAGTTTATTGCATACAGGGGGGGGGGGGCTAATTCGAGGGTGCCAGGTTCTGTATAAAGGTTGAGCTGTGGAGCGAAACTAATATTTGAATCCTTCAAAAAACAATTATGCCGAGAAACAGGATCAGTTATTATAGCACTGTACACAATTATTACATGGGTGAAGACAATGATTGAGAATGCACCATCACTTATTGGAAGGACAACACCACCTGATTTTCTAGCAAAGTTGATATGGAATCATCATGTAGAAGCTAAACACATAGATATTGTGAGGGGATACACTATTGGTGCTCACTATTTTTGAAATAGATATTGTGTTTCCAGAAGACATGCCATTACCCAAACAATTTGATACCTGCAACAACACAACAACTTTAACAACAAAGAGACAGGTAGTTGAAGAAACGGGTCCTAAAATAAGAGGGAGAAGGTTAACACCTTTGCTTTCATTTCAAGCCCCTTTTGGCGCCATTTGCATTTAGGGATCTCGAATCTTCAATCTACAAAGGTATTTATCCGGCTTCTATGGCAGAACAAAGCTCATTCTCATGAGGAAACTCCTAACCTATCCACCTGTTAGGCCCTTCATAGAAAGATAGAAAGCAGAAATCAGTTAACAGCTCAGCCCAACATCTTATTAACAAACTTTTAACAAACTTCAAAAGAGTTTTCTAACTGTTTCTAACAAACTTCAACAGAAAATCCCAACTGTTTTAACAATACATAACAGAATTTTCTAAACAGAATTCTAACAGATAACTAACCTTTGAACCGCCCATAACAGAAACTTCAACAGAATTTAATGAATTCCAACTGATTAATCCCCACCCTGCAATATCTAACTGAAACTACTGGATCCAATGGTTCAGGCAATCATCTTTATCTATATAAGCGAGCCTATATCTTCATTCTTCGCATCATGATTCATTTTTCCATAAATCACTAGAAAAAATCTCAAATCTCTCTCTCTGCATTCTCTGAGTTTTTCTTCAGGTCTCATCAACACCATCACGGTTCTTATTTCATCATCTTCATCATAATTCTTCCTCACTCCTTCAACCACAATTTCATCACTCAACTCCACCCTAACCTCTCTAACTCTGAAACTTCCGTCATCTCTCTCTTTGCAAATCACAATCAACCTTCCTTCTATTCCGAACCTTACACTTTCATTATCTTCTTCTCATATCAAGACCTTGATCACCACTTCTTCATCCGATCTCTCTGCAACAACAACCTACAATTCTCCCTATTCTGCAAAGGACAGAAAGGAGACGAACACACAAGAAAGGGAAAAGAGCGAGAAGTATGAATCACCTACAAAATAAGAAGAAAAGAAATATCGCAAGAAAGTGAAAGAATTAGAGACGCAATACCTGGAATATCCGCTACACCTCTGGTTTTCTATTTCTTATCATCGCCGTCATCGAAATCGCATCGGACGATCTCTGATAGGTAACTCCTGAATCTCTTACTTTCATCATCTCGCATGAAACTTGATTGAATGATTGTTCAAATGTGACTGAAATCCGATGATCTCGCACCTTCATCTTTCATTCGTAATTCCGGATTTAGATATTTTCTGAATATGTGAAATTAAGTTGAAATTGGGAAAAGAAGATCACAATCGGAGAGATGAAGCGCGGTGTTTGAGTGAGATGATAGACAAAGATGAGGACGAATCGGACGGTAGAGATGTTGGAGTTGGATTGAAGAAGATGAGAGGAAGTGTCGAACGGCGCCAGGAAGGAGAAGAGAGAATTTTGTGCATAGGAAGTTCAATCGACGCTCATTTTAACCCTAAGCCCTTTTTTAATTGTCCACGTGTTTTTTTTTACTATGTTATTTTATCCATCTCTTCATCAACTGGTGTTTGTTAACACAATAACAAAAAAAGGGAAAAACGGATTAAACAAAAAAAGGGGCTGGACTAAAATTACACCTCAAGCCCATTACCATCTTTCTGGAAGATTATTGATGCTTGCAAAAAAAAAGTATAATCACTGAACCGAATTACACTTTCTATTGGGTCCATTCCTTGTTTTTCTTTCATGATGGATCTGTAAAAAAAGAGATTTCTGGGCCGCCCTGGATTGGGCTTCAGCGCCCAAGATTTCTCTTTGTCCATGTACACGCCTGACTACAGGCCGCACCCCCCTGATCCTCTTAGTTTTTTTTTAATAAAACAATGTATAATAAAAAATGGTAAAAACTTTATGAGGCATTTTAGAAATTAATTAGGAATATATTTCTTCTTTTTTGCTAACTTTTTAGTCAATTTTAATCATTAGTTTTATTCATTTTATATCTTTTTATTTTGTTTGCGATTTTTTGATCGTATGTAATATTTTAATATTTGCTATCAATTTCGTTCGTTTGTATAGTCTGTCATGATCCCTTAGGAAATTTTGTTCAAATTTAACCTTCGATTCAATTAAACCAAAATCGGATGTTGGAATTGTAAATCCAAGCATACAAACATTAGGAAGAATTCTCTCAAAATTCTAACCTTAGATCTGACCATATGCATGATAATATTAGGTGTAGAGATAGACTAATCCCTTTTAACTTTTCTTCCCCGTTTGCATATGCATCTAGAAAAAGAAACTTCCTTTTTTTTTCAAACTTCAAAAATACATAAAAATTTACTCACAAGAATCATGTCTTTGCTAAGTTTGTGAGATGATAAGCGGGTTTCTTCTCGATCTTATTATTCTCTTATTCTAAGGCTCGGCATGATTCAAGTCCCAAAGAATCATTTCATGAATAAGTAGAGACATGGCTAAAATCTCTCCCTTGAGATTAACTAGTTATTCTCTACGAGCAAAAAACACCAACAAACATAAAATTCTTTTTGCCTTCGGGCCTTCTTTTCAAAATCTTTTCAAAAGAACATATTAATTCACTTATGTGCTGACGCGTAAATCTCCAAAGGTCGAGTTGCGGTAGAAGGCGAGATTAATATCGTTTGTTTAAAACACAAACAAATTCAAACTTTTTGTGCGCCCAGGCACATTTTCTCCAAACTTTTTTCAGAAGAGCATGTTAATTCACTTATGTGCTGACGCGTAAGTCTCCAAAGGTCGAGTTGCGACAGAAGGCGAAATTAATATTGTTCATTAAAAAATACAAACCAACAAAAACATAAGCCGAACTACGGCTTCTCTGATTCCTTAAAAGGGATATGTAGGCATCGGGGTAGGGCCCGAACGAGCACAATTTTATTTTCTCTACATTCTTTTCTCATTTATTTTGCATGCATTCTCCCTTTAGTAGTATAATAAACAGTAAGCATAGATTAAACACACCCATAAGATAAATAACAAGAGTGGATGTCGTAGAGTACTACGGGCGTGTGGGGTGCTAATACCTTCCCCTCGCGTAACAGACTCCCTTACCCTCATCTCTCGGTCGCAAGACCTTGATTTCACCCTTCTCAGGTTTACTCGATGTTTACCTTTCCCTTCCTGTGGGATAAAAGACGTCTGATGGCGACTTCATTATTTGATGATTTTCAGCCGGTTGTTTCAAGCTTCCTTCTTCAATTGTAGCACGAGCGTCTTTAACTCAAACCATCTTCGGCACGACTTTAACAGCTTTGGATTCATCATAGGAACATTTGGTAGCAACAACCATTGGTGGTACCATTTTAAAGGCTTGACACGGGGTCTCAATGAATTCTCCATCCATTTCTACGTACTTGAACGAGTTGAGGTGAATTACCATAAACTCTTCTTCTCCATAGATGGTGACAATTCTTCCCTTGACCGGATATTTGAGTTTCTGATGGAGAGTTAAGGTTACTACCCCAACTTTATGGATCCACGGGCGACCCAACAGACAAGAATAGGCAGGACGAATATCCATAATGTAGAAGGTGGAGTTAAAGATTTGGGAGCCCACTTTGATTGGAAGATCTACCTCCCCATGAACTGTCCTCTTTGATCCATCGAACGCCCTTACAATGATATCACTTGGTTTCAAGACTAAACCTTCACAGTTAAGATGGTCTAACTCCCCCTTGGGTAGTACATTTAGAGAAGAACTAGTGTCGACTAGCATATGTGCTAAGGTAGTCCCTTTCCACTCAACAGAAACATGTAGAGCTTTATTATGGTTCTTCCCAAGCGATGTTAGGCCAGCATCTGAACATCCCAAGCCATTATCAGCCGTCAAGCTAGCCACGCAATTCTCAAATTAGTCTGTTGTGGTCTCATGGGGGACATGAGCCTTTTTCAGGAATTTTATTAATGTCCGAGCATGGGCATCGGAACAGAGCAACAACGACAACATAGAAATCTTAGAAGGGGTTTGCCCCAACTGTTCCACAATCTTGAAGTCACTTCTTTTTATCATCTTCAAGATCTCGTCCATCTCACGAGCAGAGGGTTCTCCATCAGCAACATCCTTTGCGTGTATTTTTGTCATGGTAGGTGTGATCGGTGGATCTGGAACTGACTGTTTAACGCTGGTTCGCGAAATGTCGCGGAAGCAAGAGTCGCCACCGTCTTTTATTTTCTCCAAATGGAAAGGACAAAAGCACAGAAAAATTCCTTAAAGAGATTGCTCTCGGTTCGGGAGGTAGATTATAGAAAGGGAAGGTGTTAGCACCCTTTCTATCCATGGTTATCCATGGGCTCTTAGATACTTGCTCATTGTGTTTTCAAAAAGGTTTGTTTGCTTTTCAATGTGGGTTTTAAAAAGTTTCTCTGAAAATTTCAGTTCGACTCTTGTGTCAGAGTGTTTGAAAAATTGCTTTCGAAAGCTTTTTTGAAAAGGTGTCGGTGTGAAAAGATTTTTGTTTGTTTTGAAATTAGAGCAAGTATCAAGAGTCGTCTACCTACCCTAAGGAATTCGTCTGTGTAAATGTCCTTTAAGGTAGTGCCATCCCACCATTGAGAGGTAGGTAGCACCACCGTTGGAGGTGTTCGGGTCAATTCGAGTTTGTAGGGACATGGTGATCACCAGAGCAATGGGAAGACACCTTAGAAGCTACCCTCATGCCAGGTTCTCGGATCATGAGGACTTACTAAGACATCCTCTACTCGACGATCACCTTTCGAGGCAAGGCAACAATGAGGCGTACCCTAGGGGTGGTGTGTGCGATTTGTGTGTCGTTTTCATTCGTATTTGTCTTGTCAGGTTAAAGTGTTCTATGCTTGTTTTTATTATGGCCATTCATTCTTGCATGCTTTGTTTAACAGTTTAAAAGTTGCGAGGAAAAAGTAAATCTAAAGCTATTACAAATGGCGCGGGTCCACATCGCCAAAATTAAACCGGACCCGATTTGACGAAAAATAAATAAAGCAAATAAAGTAAAGTGTGAGAAGTAATATTTACAAAGCTTTGGGAGAGGTACATAATTAATTAAGCGAAATAAAATAAATATGCGAAATAAAAGAATTATCGAAACGAGGGCGTTGGACCCTTTTGCAAAATATTAAAATTAA